TCCATCTCTAGCCGGGCATGGTGGTGGGCACCTGTAATCCCAGCTACTCAGGAGGCTGAGGCAGGAGAATCACTTGAACCCGGGAGGCAGAGGTTGCAGTGAGCACAGATCGCACCATTGCACTCCAGCCTGGGCGACAGAGCAAGACTCCGCCTGAAAAATATTAATCATAATCATAAAAAAAATAAGCCAACTAATAAATTGACAAAGGACTTAATAGGCATTTCTCCAGAGAAGATATGCGGTAGTCAGTAAGCACGCCATTGTTAGTCATTAAGGAAATGACCCCTTTACACCCACTAGAATAACTGTAGTAAAAAAGACAAGAATAAGTATCGGTGACTATATGGAGAAATTGCAACTCATATGTACTGCTGGTAGGAATGTAAAATGGTACAGCTACTTTGGAAATCAGTTTGGTAGCTCCTCAGAAAAGGTAAACATAGAGTTATTGTATGACTCAGCAATTCCATTCCTTGCTACATACCCAAAAGAATTGAAAACAAGGACTCAACCAGATACTTGTACAACAATGTTTATAGTAGCGTTGTCCACAATAGCCAAAAGGTAGAAACAACCCAAGTGGCCGTCAACAGATAAATGGATAAACAAAATGCAGTACATACATATAATGGAATATTATTCAGCCATGAAAATGAGTGAAGTACTGATATATGTTTCAATATAGATGACCCTTGAAGACATTTTGCTAAAGAAGCCAGACATGAAAGATTACATAGTATATGGTTCCATTTATATGAAATGTTCAGATTAGACAAATCCATCAAGAAAGAAAGTAGATTAGTAGTTAGTCGCCAGAGATTGGGGAAAGGGGAGAATGGGGAGTGACTGCCTCTGAATATGGGCTTTTTCTGGGTGGGGGTGGCATTTGATGTAGATGTTCTGGAATTAGATTGTAAAGATGGCTGCAGAAATATATACTTTAAAACTGCTGAATTGTACCATTACTTAAAGGAGTGAATGTTATCGTATTTTAATCATATCTCAATTTTTGAATGGTGATGGGAAGTCACACTGGAGAAATAATCTCATTGAATCTGGAAAGGAAAGTTTATTTGCAAAATATGATCTGTAAAGGAAAGTTGTAAAATGAGTTTGGTTCTCAGAGAACTTCTAGGAAGTCACCTGATGCTTTTCTCTTTTTGTGATTGCCATTGACTTTGGTCACCTTTAGCATTTAACGTGTCAGAGTTTATCTTGTGTTTTCTCAGGAGGCTATCGTTTTAGGATTTGTTTATTCAAAACATAATAATGCATCATACTATTAATAGCAGCTCCATTTTGGAAAGGCTACTAATCTAATTTTGGGTCCTGGAAAAGTAAGTGAATAAAAATAAGCAACTCATCCAACCTGTGCTTCAGTAGGATCAGTGCTGAATCTCCAGAGGACAGTCCTGACCCTGTTTTGGAAGGCAGGACTGGGAGGAAAACTGGCTGTTGAAGGCCAGATGGCCAATCACAGTCTAGGAATGGGAGCATCATTCCCCCTTGACAGGTGAGAAGCTGAGGCCCAGAAAGATAACCACTAGGCTGAAACTGCTGGATTCTTACTTTACCCACAGCTTGTTCTCAGCCTCCCTTCAGAAAACAAAAATGAGTTTAAGAACAGTGCTTCCATTATAAAATGTAGACGTCAATAAAAACAACGGATTGGTAGACTGCCATACTGTGTCTTCAGCCCTGTCCCCCAAGCTGAGCTGATGACAGCCCTCTGTGGGGTGGGGCAGGTCATGTCCTTATTGTACAGATGAAGGAACAGTGCTCCGTGAGGAGTCCTGAGGGCAGAGGCCACATAGCTAGTGTGTCTGAGCCAAGGCCAGCCACCTATCCTGCCCTCCTCCCTGCTCCCATGCCATCTTAGTGGGGAGTTATCCATTCTCCCCCTCCTTCGAAGATCCTGTCTGTCGTACACACAAGGCCCTGAAAGCTACCTCAGCAAGGATGTTTAAAAACCAACACGGCACTGGCCACTGGGCACCAAGAGCCACATGTCCTGCCTAGATCATGTTACATAACTGAAGAAGACTGGGTTACATGTTACAGGTTAAGAAACTAATGACAGCAGAGCCATCAACAGTCTGGGCTGGAAATGGTGCTGGCCTGAACCAGGATTGGGAATGGATAGGGAAGCAAGTAGGGAGGAAGGAGTTCAACCACTGGACAGGGGAGAGAAATGCTGCAGTAGCACATCAGTGCAACAGACCTAGCCACCCTCCAACTAAATGGCCTCAAGCAACATTCTTTTCCTGAGCTTCTGTTTCCTCGTCTGTAAAATGGGTCAGTGTGGCAACACATGGTGTCCATGGGCACTGGTGAATGCCCAGGAAGCAGTATGGGAACCAAGCCCCTGGGCATGAAGGAGAAGGCCTCTCTCCAAGCTATGGAGACTAGTCATCGCCTGAGAGCAGTCCTAGCCCCATCTGCACATCTTCATGAGTTAATTTAGTGAGCCTTCAGTAACTTTTTTTTCTTTTTTTGAGATGGAGTCTTGCTCTGTGGCCCAGGCTGTAGTGCAGTGGCACTGTCTTAGCTCACTGCAGCCACCGCCTCCTGGGTTCAAGTGATTCCCCTGCCTCAGCCTTCTGAGTAGGGGGAATTATAGACGCATGCTGCCACACCCAGCTAATTTTTGTGTTTTTAGTAGAGATGGGGTTTCACCATGTTGGTCAGGCTGGTCTCAAATTCCTGACCTCGTGATCTGCCCGCCTTGGCCTCCCAAAGTGCTGGGATTACAGGCATGAGCCACTGCACCCGGCCGTCTTCAGTAACTTTTTATATGACAAAGACAGACACTGACAGAAGGACAGGCCCAAAGTGGGAGGCCCCAGGAACTATAAATAGCATGTTACTGCAAGCTGTACCATAAAAATGGGAGAAAAGATTGCCAGGGCTTGGGAGTCAGGTCTATGCTGCTGAGCAGGTAGAGAACCCAGGGAGGCCCAGCCCTTTGGCACACCAAGAAAGCGACAGCAGGTTAAGCTGGCAGATGTGAGAGTAACCCTCCTTCAGTCCCACGCTTCTGAGGCACTGAAGTAAGGCAGCTGCCTCTTGCTTTCTGTCTTCTCCCATCTGCCTATGTCCTTGAACATGTGGGAAAGGAAGAGGAGGAGACTCTCATCCATTTGGACCTTTTTTTTTTTTCATTCATTTATTCATTCATTCATTTTTTTTTTTTTTTTTCAAAATAGAGTCTCACTCTGTCACCCAGGCTGGAGTGCAGTGGTGTGATCACAGCTCATTGCAGCATTGACCTCCTGGACTCAAGCAATCCATCAAGAAAGATGGATCCTCAGCCTCACTATAGGCTCACACCACCACGCCCAGCTAATTTTAAAATTTTTGTAGAGACAGAGTCCCAATCTCTTGCCTAAGCTGGCCTTGAACTCCTGGGCTCAAGCTATCCTCCTGCCTTAGCCTCCCCAAAGTTCAGGGATTACAGGTATAAGCCACCGTACCTGGCTGGGCCTGTTTCTTTTGCCTAATGAGTTATG